TGATCACTTTCCCAACAATGGCTTTAATTTCAGATAATAGCTCCTGCAGCTCATTTGGTACATGATGAATAAAATTAATACATCTAAACCATAGGATAACCATTTAAAAATATTTAGTTATTTTACATTTTCAGAAGAAAAGGTGGTCCTTGCTCATCCAAAAATTGTCCCTACTATGTTAGACTGTTGTTGGCAAGACATAGCTGAAAAGTATTGATGTCCATAACATGAAATGAGCAGGATGAGGTAATAAAGTTTAGCTTTTAGGGTTAGAAGTTTGCTTTGAATTATTTTATAAAATGTTATGTATCACAAGTTTAGAGCTTTACTATTGTTAGAGATAATTAAAACTAAACCTTATTGAACCCTAATAAATTCAGTAAATTAAATAAGTAAATGATTAAACATAATTACTTATTTATAATATTTACATTTTTAACAAAATAAAGACAAAACAAATAAATAATAGAAATCATAGAAATTACATTTAAAATGTTTTTTTTGTTGTTGTTGTTTGTTTTATCAAATTGTAATTTATACAAAAATATTTTTTGGTAATAATAACATTCTTCTAGACAAGTATTTGTTTAATTTTGTAGAGATGTTGACATAAAATGTCAGACTGCTAAATCTTCATCTGCTTTGTCCTTTTACTACTTGACTTTGCAACACTTGGAATTGTTTGGGTTTGTCCACATGAAACGCATCTTAAACTCCCTCTATAAACATACATGAACTGATCCCATGAACTCAGCCGACTGAACTGGCCACTGCTGTTGCAAATGACCTTTTATTTTTTTTGACACCCTGACAGCACCAGTGTCCACCCTAGTTAGTACCCTGACTCTTGAAATATTTGCACATGCACTTTATAGGACAGGGTTTACCAGACAGGCTCAGGCGGTGCTGTCCCTTGCATGCACCTTGGCATTGGCCCGTGTGCAAAGTCATATCTGTCATCACCGTCTGTTGGGTTTCCCAGGATGCAGCTTCACAAAGGTCCTTCTGGTATGAGGAACGGTTGTTACTCTGTACAGCTGTTGCAGTAAATAATGAGACGGCTTGTTCAATGTCCAGGTAAACCATAAGTCACAATGCCTGGTGTCCTCTTAGTGTGAACATAAAACAGCTGACTGCTCACAAAAGCTCTCTCCTGCTATAAGGGAGAAAGTCAAGAGACCATCTGCCTCAAGAGACATATACTGTACTCATTATTTTCTCTTCCTCGTTTGTTCTTTTTCTCACATTGAGTTGTACAGTAAAACAGTACATCTGCTTACTAAGTGTTTTTCTCTCTCCTTTTGCTTTTCAGGTTCTTGGGGATGTTTTATTGGAGCTGTATCGGGCTCTGAAGTGGGTGGTGCGGTCGGACCCAGATGAGGTGGCTGTAATCCACGCTCAACTCGCTCTGGAGGAGCTGGATGATGTCATGAGGAGGTTCATCTTCCCTCAGCAGAAACTTGAGAAAAAGATTGTGGTACTTCCTTGAAAATGCTCCAGGATTAACATAACCTCTTTATAGACAGAGGATTTCCTCGTAGATTTCCACCATCCATTAATTTTTTTCTACTTGTAGTAATTGAATGATTTATACATTTTCGGGGGGGTTCTTCTCATTTGTCACACCCATATTTTCATTCTCAAACCAAAAAAACCTGTCTTAGCATTGATAAACTAGCATTATGGCTTTTGTTATCTGGTACACTGAGGTTAGAGGGCACCACAAGCTGTGTAAAGAGCGCTAGGGTAGCTTGTTTCCACTCTATTCTGCACTGGTGATAAAATGCCTGTTTGCTTTTTATCGAATGTTTGTGGTACATATAAAGATGGCTAGGTCATGACATCATTGTAAGAAGCGACAGGGCAATTAGTCATTCTCCTAAATTTCCCCCCACTGCACAATACTGAAAATTTCCATTCATGTTAACCGTTTCTATGGCTTCCTGACCTCCTGGGTCTGCACCAAAACAGAGCTGGTTAAATACCATGTAAAATGTATGTACCAATTAAAATGTTAGCATTTACGCTAACTCAAAATGTTAGTTTGGTCATAAGGTGTCTCTGAAATAAAATAAAAAGTTATTATTTTTCCAAAGATGGTCTAATGTGTTTATATTATTCTGTCGTTAACAGTTTCTTTTTCCCTTCACTAGGACAGTTTTAAAGTCGGTGTAAGTGTAAGCACATGTCTGAACACCTGGGTTGGGTTGCAGTGCCACAAGTTCCTGTGCTGTAAGGTAATAGAGGTGAACCAACCATTCACCTGCTAAAAGTAGTTCACACTGTACACATAAAGCATCTGTGTGGGTATTATATTTGCTTGTATTAAAGTCAATATGGATTGATCTTCGCAAAGGATTGTGCTAAGGATTGTAATGTTAAAGGGGTGGTTCACTGTTTTTTTTCTAGGCTTGATTGTGGAGCTGAGCTGAATGAGAGCGAGAAAGAGAGAAAGAGATGCAGAGCATGTGTAGAGCAGGGGAACGCGAGGAACAGTATTAAGAGCTGCTGCTTTAGAACATTGATTTTTAAACTTGTGAATCCATTAGAATCTTTAGAAGACAGAATCGCGATTCATATATGAATAGATTTTTACGTGCATCTCTAGTTTTCTCTTCCTCTTCTCTAAAGCAGCGCAGCATGGCCTCGCCCCCTTTGCTGCCTTTTCCCGAGGGCGGGGTTTATCTGGGTTTGTTATGTCACGAACCCGGGAAGTAACTTGTTGTAGTCCCTACCAGCCGTTTTTGTAGGCATTAAACTGCCAGAAGTTTAAAAGACGATATCTCCGTTTGCATTAAACTTTCAGCTTCCTAACTTTGCAGATATTGTTTATGCTCAAACAGCAACATTACACAATAACTAACGTTAAAAAAGTAAAATCGAAATCAACCACCCCTTTAAAGGAATATAGTTCACCCAAAAAATTTTTTTTTACTTTCTTTCCTCTGTAGAATGTAAAATTGAATTGAATTTTGGAAGTCCATGGTTACCAAAACTGATTGGTTGCAAACATTCTTCAAAATGTCTTCTTTTGTATTTCACAGAAGTCAGTCATATAGGTTTGGAACAACATGGGAGTGAGTATATGATGGCAGATTTTTATTTTTGGGTAAACTATCCCTTTAAGTATTTCTGAGTGAAGCAGGAAAAAATGTGGGACAGGAATTTTGAGGGCGTTCAATAACAATGTAGCCAGATTTGATGAGAGTTAGCTAAAACAATACCTAAATGCTGAAGTTATTACATTTCGATTACAAAGAGAGACAGTTTTTTTTGTTGAAATAATATACATAGATGAAACATTCACCAGTAACGCTTTTTTTGAAAGTTAATATGGCCAGTTTAGATTTTATGTTGTCCATATTTACGTTATTACGACCATATTTGCATTTTCTGTGTTCAGAAACTTAGAGAATAAGTCAGGATAGATATAATTCCTAAACATTCAAATAACAAACAAAACAAAAATCAGATAGTTTGTTAAACTTTTTTTTTTTTTTTACTGTGTGTAGCACCTACTGCTCTGCAGATCCTTCTGAAGGATCCCAACAATTTGATGTATCCTTGATCATTTTAGTCCAGTTTTAAGACTTTAGTTTGGATTATTTTGTGCCTTTGCATCAAAAACCTCAATGGTGATTCGTGCTCAAAAATCAAAGAGTTTATTCACAGTTTTTATTAATCACAAAGAGGAAAAAGACAAATGTTTCGGGTCTCAGGCCTTCTTCAGTGTAGTACAGTAAACTGCCTTGTTGAATTGCATTATTTTGTGATTCTGTCACATTGTAGAGCAGACTTTGCAAATAGGCAGTTATTGATGGATGGAGCAGTTACTCTATACATTAGTATAAATTATATTACACCTGACAGCAAATTTCAGCTGCGTGCAAAGCATACCAAAGTAGGGATGCTCATTTTGCCTGTAAATAATAATGCTTATATAGCAGCTTTAAAGGCATAATAGCAAAAATGAACTGCCCGTTTAATTCTAAGAGTCAAAGAGAGAGAATGGACTGTTGTTTTTTGTTTATTGCACTTGTATTTAAACCCATATTCAAGATGTGTTGGCTAATATAATTGCTGTGTAATGGGCAGCTGCCTGGTTGGAAGTCATAAACTTTGTCTTAGAGTTTCTGCAAAGAAACCTCACAGGCTCTTGAGGTGTCTCTTATAATTGCTTCTCTGGTTAGGATCCAAAATGTTTCCACAGTAAGGGGTAAATCACTGCCCAGCACTGAAGCCAGGCCGATGGAGAGTCACACTTTCACCTTCCTTCCCCGCAACCCCCATAATAACCTTCCCACGACTGCTACTTAGCCATGAAAGAGCCATTACGCTAATTACTCTTCCTGCCATGCAGCAGAGTCGGAAAGAAAAAGGGTGTGAGTGTGTTTTACCTGGGCGGTGAATTTCGGAGGGATCGTTTCAAAAACAGAGCAAGTTTTCATTGGGTGCCGGAGGAAGACACAACTGAGATAGGAATGTTTGGAGATACAGTGGATATTGATTATGTCCGATCCTGCTGCAGTCTATCTTTCTCTTCCTTCTCTCGCAGATCTCTTCATCAGCCGGTGTTGGACCTGCAGGCTGCCAGCAGGAGGGGTGCAGGGAGGGGTGATAGATAAATAAATAACCCAATAAAGGATGCATTGAGAGGGTGTGTGTGTAGCCAAGAGAAGAGGGTGCCTGCTTAAACAGTCCCGAGTCTTGTTGAAGGCTGGCTGCACTGCAGAGCAGGGGGAAAAGCACAGAGAAGGGACCTTGAAGGATTTCGGGCTGCACTGCAGAACGATGCCACTGCAGTACAGCACTGACACAGAGGAATGAGGTCCATCGGTGGACCCCCGACCTCTTCACATCAGGTGAGAACTTAATTCAGAGCTGATATCAGAGGCCTTCATGCCTCAGGAGGAGAGGGAGGCAGAGACACAAAAAGAAGGGGAGGGAAGCAGAGGAGGAGGAGGAGGAGAGCAATGGTGCTGTATTTTTGGATAAGGGATCTCCTGAATTAAGTGTGGCTGGAATAAAGATGTAGTGTGAGCAGGAGGCTGAACAAGGACGGTGCTGTGCTCAACTGTGGTGGAGAGGAGTGGAGCAGACGCCTGGCAGACACACACTCGCACACACTGGCTCAGAGAGAAAGAGAGAGAGCCCACCGTCACATCTGCGGGGCTGGGAAGGTAAGAGATGTTTAATTCAACTTGAGTTTCATCTTGTGTCTGTGTTATTGTGGGAGTGGATTGAAATATGAAAGCATGCAGCTTGAGAGCTCTGTCATATGTTCATTGTGTGGTTGTATGTGTGTGTGATACTAAAATTGAGAGAGAGTCAAAGAGTGGAGTTTTAGGTTGGATGGCTGTGTTTTCACACAGATAGGTTACTGTAAGCTTGTGTTTGTACAGGGTACTAAAAAATCACTGCTGCACTAAATAACTTAAAAATAAATGGTTATGGATAGCTTTTAGTATTGAACTGGAGAGAATCAGTGAATGTGTGAGATTTTTAAGGTCCTCGTGTGTGTTTTTAGTAATTGCAGTCTTAGTCCTAGTGGAATAAGGCCCATGGTTTGCTGGCACCCTTGTTAGTGCCTTGAGGCTGAGTAAATAAGTGGGCAGCAGGATGGGGTAAAACAGGAAAGCTTCATAATTTGTGTTTTAAGAGTTGTTGCCCGATTAAGGAAAATGATGTCTGTTTAGTTTCCATGTCGTCATACAGTAGATTGACAACACAAGGGTCTGGTGAGAGTTTTGAAAAAATGCTTCTGGGTTTGTTCACTTTGCCTGGGACCAGAATAATGAGCAAATTTTCAAGATTCACCCCAGCACAGAATTTACAATAGACTTGTTAATTATTACATGCAAGTCCAATGTGTTTTTGTGGAAATCTGATGTGTTTTATAAAGTTTATTTAACAGGATTAAAATTATTAAATCAATATTGTTAAATCAGTTTTATATAACTGAATGTGAACATTAAATTATTAAAACACAAGGAATACATGATTCTGGGTGCTTTGGATATTGGATATTGGATGTGAGAGGCTGAAATCTCTGTAGGTGCCCCCTAGTGTTTTGTTTTATTTTCTTTTTATTTCTACATTTTCTCTAAAGTTCTTCACATTTTATTGTTATAAGGGTGAAAGACAAATAAGTAGAAATTATTGAAAAATCTTGTTTAAAATATGTGTCAAATTCTTAGAAGTGTAATCTTTGTTGGTTGTCTTTTTTTGTCACATGACAGCTTTCCTTCATGTTGGTTATGCGCCACATTAACTTTGATTTGGCATATGAAATATTTGGCATATGGCATATATAAAAGAAAGTATTTTTTAATATTTTTGAATGTCACTTCTTATTTTTGTATTTATTTTATTTTATTTCTTATAATCTCCATTAAGTTACACTACATAGACAATTTTGACTTAAAAAATATATATATATAAATTGAATTCAGAAACTGAAGCCATGTTTGTCATAGAAGAAATTTATTCAAGTCATTTTTATATTGTTAAATTAATTAAATTTTTTATGTATTTTTAAATAACTTAATAGATCCAGGGCAGAAATTAATGAAATAAATAAAAAAGCATCACATCATTGACCCATTAACAATTTTAAGAATTCAAGTACCGGTATATAGCAAGCCAAGTCTTCTTGTTAAGGAGCTATAACACCAATCACATCATGACATGACTGTGGAGAATGCGGTTTAAAAAGTTTAAATGTTGTATATTCTGTATCTGACAGTCTCATTTGATCATTATTTCAGTTGATCATTATAATTATAATGTACATTAGTACATTGTACTGGCACATACTCAATTTACCCAAACACATCATGCTCTCCCTTCCAGCCATTCATCTCACTTCCTCTCACCTGCTGCCCTCCCTCTTCGGTCCTGGTGATTCCCAGCCCCCCTTCATTCCTCTCCCACCTCCTCCCTTTGTCAGTGTCCTATCCTGCATCCAAAAGTCCTCATTCTATCTGGTCCACACCTGAGAATACAGGTTCTCACCCCAGGTTCTCATTATATTCTGGCATATACTGTGACATCCAGGGGTTACGCAGATTGCAATGTAGCAAATAATTGCATTTGCCACTAATCTTGGTTGTGCATCTTAAGTTGACATAACAAGTGATCAAAGGCTGTAGTTTGAACACCTTTATGCCTTTCATCACACATATGGTAGTGGGTTTGTTTGCAGTGTTTGGGGACTGAGTGATGGTTAGTGTCCTGTTTGACATGGGGCTCTTCCTCACACCCGTCCCTCTGAGCTAACAAGCCTCCGGAGGAAGATTCCCTCCAATTACGGTCAAACATAACACTCTGCCTGCTGTCTCTATCTGACCCTCAGGGTCTATACGCTTTGTCTTTGTTCACATCACAGGTAAATGTATAGGACAAGACAAGAAAGGGATAAATCCATTATAGTGCACAGGTAACATTTGGGAATTTTGGCAGTTCTAACTCCAGATACATTGCTTAAAGTTAAACCCAAATTGCTAATATGAAAGGATCAGTTATGTATTTCTTGGAATTATATGACGTAAAACAGCTAAGTACTGGTCTGGTGCAGCTGTAAATAACTGTGAGAACAGTCAGTTACTGTGGTAGAAATATCAAAAACCACTTCAGTGGAAGTCAGCGTTATTTCTGCCACTCTTCTCCATTGCGGTGGCTGTTATGATATAAGGGCACTGAGTGAAGCGGCTCTTTCTTTCATGAAAGGGGGAGCAGGAGGCAATTGAATGAATGAAAGGGGGGGATTGTTCCCTAGTCTGGCTGCCACTGATTACCTGCCAAACTCATTCTAGCCTTTAATTAAAGTCATTAACCTGAGAAAATGAGAAAAAAGTGAGAAAGACAGAGAGAGAGAGTGACTGAGAGAGAGTTTCACGTGAAGTTTGTAGTATTCTAATATTGTCACAATGTCCGTTGTTGCCAAGTTTTTTTTTTTTTTTAATGCATTAAAAGTATTGAATCATTCTTTTGTTCCCTTTCTGTCGGTGAATCTCACAAAGCCTGTCAATAAATAAATAAGTAATATATATATATATATATACTGTCTATATATATATATATATATATATATATATATATAAAGACACACATACAGCATATATTTTGAAAATATTTACCAATGCAGCAAATAAATACATTTGCCACTAATCTTGGTTGTGCATCTTAAGTTGACGTAACAATCCTACCAAGTGATCAAAGGCTGTGGTTTGAACACATTTCATCACACATATGGTTGTGGGTTTGTTTCTAGTGTTTGGCGGCTGAGTGATGGTTAGTGTCCTGTTTAACATGGGGCTCTTCTTCACACCCGTCCCTCTGAGATAACAAGCCTCCGGAGGAAGATTCCCTCTAATTAGAGTCAAACGTAACTCTGTATCTGCCTGCTGTCTCTATCTGACCCTCAGGGTCTATACGCTTTGTCTTTGTTCACATCACAGGTAAATGTATAGGACAAGACAAGAAAGGGATAAATCCATTATAGTGCACAGGTAACATTTGGGAATTTTGGCAGTTCTAACTCCAGATACATTGCTTAAAGTTAAACCCAAATTGCTAATATGAAAGGATCAGTTATGTATTTCTTGGAATTATATGACGTAAAACAGCTAAGTACTGGTCTGGTGCAGCTGTAAATAACTGTGAGAACAGTCAGTTACTGTGGTAGAAATATCAAAAACCACTTCAGTGGAAGTCAGCGTTATTTCTGCCACTCTTCTCCATTGCGGTGGCTGTTATGATATAAGGGCACTGAGTGAAGCGGCTCTTTCTTTCATGAAAGGGGGAGCAGGAGGCAATTGAATGAATGAAAGGGGGGGATTGTTCCCTAGTCTGGCTGCCACTGATTACCTGCCAAACTCATTCTAGCCTTTAATTAAAGTCATTAACCTGAGAAAATGAGAAAAAAGTGAGAAAGACAGAGAGAGAGAGTGACTGAGAGAGAGTTTCACGTGAAGTTTGTAGTATTCTAATATTGTCACAATGTCCGTTGTTGCCAAGTTTTTTTTTTTTTTTAATGCATTAAAAGTATTGAATCATTCTTTTGTTCCCTTTCTGTCGGTGAATCTCACAAAGCCTGTCAATAAATAAATAAGTAATATATATATATATATATACTGTCTATTTATATATGTGTATATATATGTATATATGTATATGTATACTGTGTATATATATATATATACTGTATATATTATATATATAAAATTCCCAAATTCTCTTTACTTTAATGTTAAACTAATCCCATTCTTATTACCATAATGCAAAAAAATAAAATACAATTTAAAAGTTGTAAAATACATAATATTAGTATTTGTTGTAGAGCTTTAATGCTGGCTTTATTAAAAAATAATTATGTCTACGCAAGATGGTTTTATATAATGATATATTAATTGGAAATAATTACATTAGGAATAACAAACACTTAAAATGAAAACATCTGTACACATTAGATTAATGGGAATTTGGAGGTAAAATGCATGGATGTAAAAAATCTTGATAGTCATAAAAAGACGTTTTTTTTTTTATTCATTCAAAATATGATTTCTATTTTTTATTATTATAATTTCTTTTTTTTCCTATTGATTTTGGGGTGAATTCATGTCGTTATGAGATTCACTGTAATTTAAAATTAAATTCTTATTACTAAAATACATAAGATCTCCCTACATGTCTACTAGGATATTTGCTGTTGATATTTGGATTTGTGCTGTTTCAAAACGGTTAAACATCACTGTTCCACTATAGAGAAAGAGCTACTTGTTGGTGGGGAGAAAAGAGGAAATGGTCAGGTAAGGAGAGAGAAGAAGAGGTAATGATGATTTTTCTACCCTTAATTATGTCATCTCTTTTTCTCTCTCTTCAGATGCCCTCTCGCTTTGGCACTGCGGTGCGGATCTTCATCACCACCCTATTTGCGGCAGTGGTGCTTTTTGCCATCCTACTGGCTTATGTGACAGGTTACCAGTTCATCCACACCGAGCAGCACCACCTGTCTTTTGGCTTGTACGGAGCCTTTCTATCCCTTCACCTCCTCCTGCAGAGCCTCTTTGCCTTCCTAGAGCACCGACAAATGCGTGGCCCTTCCAGACCCCAGCACCTGCGGCGCACTGTGGCCCTCTGCATCGCAGCCTATCAGGAGGATCCGGACTACCTTCGCAAGTGTCTTCGGAGCATTCGCCACATTTCTTTTCCCGGGCTTAAAGTAGTGCTGGTGGTGGATGGGAATCGGCAGGAGGATGGTTACATGATGGACATCTTCCAGGAGGTGATGGGGGGAGTGGAGCAGACAGGCTGTGTGGTGTGGAAGGGGAATTACCATAGGGACGGGGATGGGGGAGGAGGGAAAGGTTCGTTGCATGCTGAGGAGGCTGCACGGGTGGCCAGGTTGGTGCGGAGCTGTCGTTACTCCTGCATCATGCAAGAGTGGGGCGGCAAGAGGGAGGTCATGTATACAGCCTTCAAAGCACTGGGAGATACTGTGGATTACATACAGGTAAGTCTAGACCCCACTAACAACCTAAAATTAATAAAACGGAAAGAATCCTGAATCCATGAATAAATGTTCACACAATAATATGACAATTACCCCTAAAGTAATAGGAATAAAGAGCATCCATTCCAGACATGCTTACTTGTTGCTCTCAGAAGGCCAAATTACTTTAATATTGGTGAGCCAACAATTTACTGTCACAATCCATAGTCTGCTATCACCTTATAGTTTCCTCAATGCCACTGTAATCCGAATCCTTGCAACACTGAGGTCAAAGATCAGTCTTACTACTTACCTTCACCTGTAGTCCTGAACACACCTGTGCTGTCATCAGCCTTTCATTGTTCAACATATGACTGATATCTTCAGAAACAAAGATGACCTTGAAACATCTGTGAGCCAGTGTTTGTGGTGCCACTAGTTTCTTTCAACAGTCCTTGCATTGTTCAGACAATCAACATCAGCCTCACTTGAAAAAAGGAAACCAGTTGTACATGAGTTAAATTCTTGAGAAGTCTTCTAATTCATTTTATATATCTCTTGGTTTTGTTTGCAGGTATGTGATTCCGACACTGTACTGGATCCAGCATGCACCATTGAGATGCTGAAGGTTCTAGAGGAGGATCCGGAAGTGGGTGGTGTTGGAGGAGATGTTCAGGTGAGAAATTTGCCTATTTTAGTAATTTTTATGTCCCTTTCAACAAACTAATTTGAGAAGTTTTCCAGTGGGTTTCTTCTTTATAGAGTACTCACCAAAAGTTCTTTCATTGTCTCTTTCAGATTCTGAACAAGTACGACTCCTGGATCTCCTTCCTGAGCAGTGTCCGTTACTGGATGGCCTTCAACGTGGAGCGGGCATGCCAGTCTTACTTTGGATGTGTGCAGTGTATCAGTGGACCTCTGGGAATGTACCGCAACTCTCTTCTTCAGCAGTTCCTGGAGCCCTGGTATCATCAGACCTTCCTAGGAAGCAAGTGCAGCTTCGGGGATGATCGCCACCTCACCAACCGCGTCCTCAGCTTTGGCTACAAAACCAAGTTCACGGCACGCTCACAATGCCAAACCGAGACCCCCACGCAATATCTGCGCTGGCTCAACCAGCAGACCCGCTGGAGCAAGTCTTACTTTCGAGAGTGGCTCTACAACGCCCTTTGGTTCCACAAGCACAGCCTCTGGATGACCTATGAATCTGTGGTCACCGGGTTCTTCCCTTTCTTTCTGGTGGCTACAGTCATCCACCTGTTCTACCGAGGCCGGTTATGGAACATCTTGCTCTTCTTGCTAACAGTCCAACTGGTGGGCATGGTGAAAGCCACCTATGCCTGCTTCCTGCGGGGCAGGCTTGTCATGATCTTCATGTCACTGTATTCACTACTCTACATGTCAAGCCTGCTGCCTGCTAAGATCTTTGCCCTGTTGACTATTAACAAAGCAGGTTGGGGAACATCAGGCAGGAAAAAGATAGTGGTAAACCTTATTGGGGCTGTGCCTGTGACCGTGTGGGCAGCCATACTGCTCGGTGGCGTGGTTTACACCATTTACTGTGAGGTGCAAGAGCCATTTAGTGAGACAGAAAAGGCTCTTCTCATTGCAGGCACCATCCTCTATGCCTGTTACTGGCTCATACTCCTGGTGCTCTACCTGGCCATAGTGGCTAAGCGCTGTAACAAAAGAGAGGAACAGTATCACCTATCCTATGCCGAAGCCTAGCATGGTCTCTCCAAAAGATCTCTACATGCTGTCAGGGCTCATTTGAAATGGCCCCGTCTTTACCTGGTGCTGCAATCTTGGTTATAATTATGGATCATGTGCAAGTCCAAGCTGTCGGATGTTGTTAGCGATGGCTACTTGAGAGGTTTCAAACAGTGGAGTTTTTGAGAGAGCCATAATTTACAAAAGCTGACATCAGGAATGGTGCTTCTCCTGATTATAAAGCACACAATAAGGAGGCGGCCAGCCAAGGTGAGAACAAAAAGTTGAGCCAAAGGTTAGTGTAAGAGTGATAAGTTAATGTAGTTCATCTGGCACACTCATATTAAGTTAAGGGGCTATATTGGTGCTTGGATTTATAATTAGACAGAATGTGAACTTTCAAGGATAGAGAGATGTGTGCCAACACTTGAGGAAACCGGCATAAGACATTGAGTTTGCCAAACCCAGTCAGTATTTTAACGTCTTTTATCTGACAATCCAGCATAATTCTATATTTCATCATTAGAATTGTGGTGCTGCAGATCCTTTTGTGGGGTAGCATGATAGAACATTCAAGAAAGTACAAACAGCATTTAAATGAGAATTTTATGGTACTCCACAAATATTTACTACACTGTACATGTTTACAGTTCAAGATGTATATAGTAACATCCAGTTCCAGTAAATGGATAGTGTCAGGCAACCAAAGAGGATTTTCTCTAGCATCTAGAATGTTTTGTTCCTGTGTTAGTTTAAAAAAAAAAATGGAGGAAAGATTGGTCTCCTATTTTTATTCCCATTCTCCTTTTTTACCTATAAGACAAACTTGCTAGAAGTATAAGATCAATTCGTTTTTTTATTATTTTCATTATAGGTGGTAGAACCAGAGACATAACAAACATGGTCAGTAATACTTAAACTATTACAATTTTTCCCCTAGTTCTGAGAACTTCAAAGCATAAACAGTGTTACATTATATTTAAAAAAAAAACTGTCCAGTTATACTGCCTGAAACTTTACACATTACATTTGTTTACAGACTTTGAATAGCATTTCTAATAGTCATTTTCTATAGAGGCTTATAATCTAATAACATTTCATTCATGCTTCACTACCTGGTGAGATTATTTTTAACCTAAGAGGCATGATGTGGACCTGTGATGTCATGATTGTAACAGCTTTTTCTCACCCCCAAACTGATTATTTATATAAAGTATGTTAGCTAATTCTGCATGTTAGCCTGATGTTACAGAATCTGACCACCTTTGCAAATTCTTACGACCTTTTCCTATAACATAAACTATTTAGCATATATACTATTTTATAGTATATATATAACATATATACTATTTTATTTCCATTAGTTTAATTAAAATGTTCGATTTGCTAGAAAGATAAAAGCAAAAAAAGTGGACTGAAGTTGTTTATGGTATGCAATGTTAGCTGGTTTTAAGGATTACCATATATGGATCAAAGGTGTACAGTGGACTGTTTTTCTACCCTCAACCCACCCATGCAACAAATTAGTAGATTTACTTTGGTAGCGGTTCACCACTTTCTCTGCTCCCTTCCCCCCAAAACACACATTAAACTCTGGCAGAGACCTAGACACTGAGGCTAGTGTGAATATGTGTGCAAGTTTAGAGAGAAGCTTCGAGTTTATGAAACATTTGCCCGCTCGACTTTTGCTTGTGCATTACATGTGATAACTGTGTCTTAACAGTGAACTGCTGTGGACTGCAGCATCCTCTAAGGCTGCAAAAATAAGATGACTCTGATGACGCAATGCAATTAAGAAACCAGAGCTATACAATGTTTACAGTAAAACTTGGGATTGCATTGTTCACTTTTGTGTGTTTTCAGATTTTATGCAATTCACTTGTAGGCTGGATGGCTGATATGCTCAGGAACAGAGTGAGGGACTTAAAAATGAATTTTAAAAGGATGGGATGGGATGGGATGGGGGGGGGGTTGTTTTGCTCTGCTGTCTGGCAAACACAACCAATTAATATGTAGATGGTTAAATTTATTTTATCAGTGAAAACTAGGTCATACTACTTTCAAGTGTATTGTAAAGTAATATATATTTTTGTAATGTAAAATTCAAAGATATTTTAAACAAGCAAGAATCCTGACACATTTTCCTAGGAAATTTTATTTTATGGAAAACATGTTAAGTTATTTTCATAACACTGTACAGATTAGGGAATAATAAATTATTCATAATCCATAATAGGAGAGGTTAAGTGTTTTTAACCAAAATGCACAGTTGTTTTACAGATCACCATCGGCAGCTTACGTCTACTCACAAAATTAAATATTCAAGTGTTAATGGATTGGCACCATTTAGTCTGCGTGTCACAGCTAACCTGTACTTCCACAGTGTACAATACCTAGAAATGGCCATCATGGTCTTTTAATCTCACATGAACTTTACATATTATGTTTTATGTATTTATGTACATTCTGTTGTATGTAAAAGAAGCTGGATTCTTTACATTTGGACATTTCCCATGTAATTATTTTTGCAAACACTTGTAACTGTTGTTTCGATACAATAAACTTCGATTGAAAAGTGAGTATTTTCTTTCTTTCTTTTTTGATTTTAAAATGTACTTTGGGCCTATTACTTAGAATAATTATATTTGTTCAACATTATTTTCAATTACACATTCCTGACAACAATGTACAAAGATTCTAATCCACTATTCAAAACCACATGTATATATTCACATATGGTTATAAATCTAGAATTTTGTGCTGATCAGTTAGTCTCTGATATCTGGACATAAGTTATACTTTCTTTGGCACATTAGTGATAATGGGTTTTGGTCGGGTTTTAAAGATTAGCTTCTTTTTAATGAGGGCGGAAACGGTGTAAGATGTTGGGTTCTCTTGGCTGGTTTCCATGTTTTCCTCTTCATCCTGAGGGAGTCCGGAATGCTTCATCAGAACAGCAAAGGGCTTCTCCAGTTTAACCTGTTTGCCATAGAGGATGTGATGTCCGACTACAAGTCGACCAACTACTAGAGAAGGACAAACCTCTTTAGTGTAGTGCAGGTCTCCCATCAGATTTCCTGCAAGTCCAGTATTCTGTCTGGACACCATTTCTCCCTGCAGCTCCACCAGCAGCCATTCAGCTGGACCTTCACCAGCTTTGATGCAGAACACACCGAAAACCATTTCCAACAAGCACTTTTAGACCATGACCTCTAAAAATATAGCTTAAGTCTTCACACCAACCTTGAAATGACTATTTGAACCATTCCTTTATCTGTTTCCTCTGTGTCAGGATTCACAAATCACACAATTATTCCTGCTCTGTAGACCTAATCATCTGAAACGTTGACAAGACAAACCAAGTCAAATATTACCTTTACTCCACAGTTGACTTTCTACATGAATGTACATAAGTATGCTACATTCGTAAATAAATACACTACTATGCTATCACTACTATCACGCTATGCATGATCATATACCGACACAAAAAGTTTCCCGCCAGTCAGGGTTGCCAGGTTTTCACAACAAAACCCGCACAATTGCTACTCAAAACTAGCCCAATCGCATTTCAAGGGGGACTCCCCGTTAAAAATTGCGTTCCGGGGGGTAAAATACACGTTTTTGACGGGGTTCCCCTAGTAAAATTCACACTCCAGGGGATAAATATTACGTTATCGAGGTCGCTTTAACCCGCAGACATGAAAAACAACCCGCGGCAACAGTGATAAAGTAGCCAAATTCCGCGGGAAAACGACGGACTTGGCAACACTGCCGCCAGTGTGAGTTACATTTCAAATTAAAAGTCTCATTGTAGCGTGAACCACTAGAGGGCAATCGAAGCTCGTCTACGAATAATGTAGAGCCAGTACATAAAGCCTGACTTTTTCAGTTGTATTTATACTAAATATTTTTGTTCTCAAATTTCGTTAACTGTTTTTGAAGTTTCTGACAAAATAATTCAAATAACTGATGAAATGGTCTTGTTTATGAATTGTGATACCATTTTTTTATTAGAGATTGGAGATTGACAATACAATTAAAATTCTTACTGTGTTCGGAAAATATAACATTAGTAAAATAATGTCAGTTGTACCCAATAGTAGATAGTTTTCCACTAACTTAAAGATTTTTTTTACGATTCCTTATTTTGTATACATATAAAGAACAGTAAAACTGAAAAGACATCTCTGTTGTCGAAAAAAGATAATAGATATAATAGCAGCAATTTGACAGATTTTTGTCGTAAGAGGTATAACTAGTCGATTACGATGCATATGTGTATGTATGTTTTGTAACTGTTTCTCCTTGTTGAAAATTCAGTAAAAAAAGATCTGACTTTCAGGGGAAAAAAGAGAGAGAGAGAGAGAGAGAAGAAGCTAAAATGACAGGGAATTGAGGATACTCGAGAAAACAAAAACGAGACAAAACAAGACATATTAACAATTTATATTTCCCAATTATACAAATTACAAATACATAAAATCTCGATAGCTTTTTCATTCAAATAGTGCTTAATACGGTTTGTGATTTCACACAGTAACGTCACAAAGTTAGAAAAGTTTTTGATAGTAAATTAACAAGTAAATATATAAATATAATATCAATTAAGTAAATAAATGTAAATATAATAACACAGTGGCAAAAATACATGTAAAGCAGTTTCAGGGCAACCACTGCAAACTTCTAATTATTATTATTATTATTATTATTGTTGTTGTTGTTGTTATTATAATAATAATTATTATTATTATTGAACAAATATGTCAGTGCGCATGCGTGGCGTTGGCCATGCGGAAAATGACTCGTCAGTGTTGTTGTGGATCTCTGACAGGCACGTGAGCGGTGCTACATAGTCTACGTTATATAGCAGTCGACATGGCGGCCACAACTCCTCCAAAGGTACTGAACATGCTGCTTTATAAGTCAATACACTGTCAAAACGACAAATAGCTCCATTTTACTGGTGTTTATAAGTGGGTTTTGGCGTAGATATTCTGTTTGACTAGCTTTTTGAGCTGTCGGTGCTGGGAAATAGGTGATAGACTGGTCTGATAAACTGCTGTGGTTAGCAACAGTTAGCCTGGCTGCTAACACCCAAACACTCTGACATACAGCTGATAAAACTGCGAAAAACACCGACGTCAGACGCAGCGTTTACGCTGCCAGTTCCTTTGCGAATGCAATATCGATCGTATTTGGGGCGTTTGGACAGTAAAAACAAAAAGTCCCAGTTGTGTCTGTGCTTAAACTAGTGTTGAGTCATGAGTTGCCTGGCAGGTTTATGAACATCATAATCTAGATTCTAGATCATAAACATGTTTTGAGCTAGATGACTGACAGTTTATTCACTGATTCAGGTGAATTAATTCCATAAGGAAACTGGCTTTCATATTTTCAAGTCTCTTAATGAGCTATTTCTTGGTACTACAGAACCTAATTTTCATTTTGTTTATCGTTTTCTCGTCTCTGTTTACTCTGTTACTCATGCATGAGCAAGTTCCTTTACCACCATGATGTTTTGATGGTTAGCAATTACAGCTACCAACACAGATTTAATATAGAAATTATGTGCATTGCTCATGTGGTGCATGTTATTGCAGGGTTTTGTTTTCCAAGGGCTATTTTTAGTTTTGCAGCGATCAGTGTCATTATTTTTTATTGTAAGGGAGCCTGCAAGAACATTCTGTTTGTGTCAGTATGACTGGAGTTGTCAGTTCCTTAAAGGGGTCATATGATGCGATTTCAGTTTTTCCTTTCTCTTTGGAGTGTTACAAGCTCTTGGTGCATAAAGAAGATCTGTAAAGTTGCAAAGACTAAAGTCTCAAATCCAAAGAGATATTCTTTATAAAAGTTAAGAGTCAACCACGCCTACCTAAAAGGGCTCGTTCTAACACGCCCCCACGTCTACGGGGCATAGAGAAGAAACAATAATGTACAGTATGTGGAAAATAATGTGTTTTTTGAAACTTAAACCGCATAAACATTTCATTATACCAAATAATGTTCTTTTTAGCAACATCATATGACACCTTTAAGTTCAAGCCTCAGGCTGCAGACTAACTTGCCTTTTAAGGCACAGGGAGTGGAGTAACATAACAGGATCTTGAAATGTTTGTTTTTAGTGACCTATTTAGAGAGAATAATATCTCTGGTCACTGTAAATCAAACTGTGTAATGTTCCGTTTGTATATACTTAGTTTTTCTTTGTTTTGCAGGTGGTGTTTGAACACGAGGGAGTCTTTATTCACTCATCTCCAGATGAATCTGAGGACCAGGATTTAATATCGGGATTCCTCAGGATTGTTGATAAGGTTTGGTTCTTGTCAGTTGCTTTTTTTGTTGTTGCTTATAATAATAGTTGGATTTAACAGGCTTGTTGTTTTAGAATGATCATGATATACCTGAACTGGGTCAATTTGACATACATAAGATGTTTTACCACATTCTTGTGTCATTGTTTGGACAGCTAATATGCTAGTACCATTCAAAAATGTAGGGTTGGTAAGATTTTTAAAATGTTTTTTTTTAATTCTGTCATCATTTACTCACTAGGGCTGTCGCGGTGAGGGAATTTCCCTTACGGTAATTTTGAGTGGCTCAATAGCGCGGTATGCGGTATTATCGCCATACATATACATATATATCAGAATCAGAATCAGAATGAGCTTTATTGCCAGGTATGTTTACACATACGAGGAATTTGTTTTCGTGACAGAAGCTTCCACAGTGTAACAGAATGACAGTGACAGAACAAAAAACACAGATAATAAAAAATAAAAAAAAAATAAAAAATAGAACAAGTAAATAAGGAATAAAAATATACAAATCGACAATTGTATGTACAGGTATATAACAAGGATCATGTGACACTGAAGACAGGCGTAATGATGCTGAAAATTCAGCTTTTTTCACTTTTTAAAACATACTGAAATAGAAAATAGTTATAAAAAATGGTAATTTCACAATATTACTGTTTTACTGTATTTTAATCAAATAAATGCAGCAGTGGTGAGCATAAAAGACTTCTTTCAAACACATGACAAATCTGACCCTTAAACTTTAGGTAGTGTATGTTTGAGGTATTACTTACTAGTCATATGCTTCATAATGTCTAGATATGTTCTTCGACAGGAGATACGCTCCAACTCTAGTGCACGGCCATCAGCATGGAAGAATCTAGCAACATAAACAATCTGTCACAGAGTCAACAATATTTATTATACAATGCCATTGCCAGGTTTATTATAAATAAACTATAGCAGAGGCGAAATCCAGAAAAGAAAAATAATAATTTACAGAATATACAAAAAAGGATTTAATAACAGAATGTACATTTTTAGGTTTACTTATTTAGTAATGCTCTTACAGTGTTACTTATGTTTGGACATCAAAGCCCTTTTAAAATAACTAACAAGCAAACACACGCACATATATATATATATATATATATATATATAATTTTGCAAAAGAAAATTACAGATACATGGTGATAACGGCGAAATATGTTATGAAAGATGCATATAAAGTTATTTAATAAGCTTTCTCAGATCACCTGTGTTTTCTATATCTCTGTCAGCAGCTCCCTTCAGAAATTTTAAAATCAGGAACTTCTCCTGTGTCGTAGAGTTGTTGTTGTTTTCGCTTCTGAAATCACAGAACAAGTGGTATCAATATGTTTACCGTGAAAGATCAAAACCTCTTTTAATTAAGTTTCAGCCCATTTTCACGCTCCATGTAAGTGACGTATCCGTATCCGATTAACTGTACAGTGCATACTTTTAGGTTAATTTAATTAGCTTACTTCCATTCATCCATTGACAAATTGCCAGCAAAACCTTTATATAAAAAACGCTCATCTACACATAAGATGACATTAAAAGCCCAAACTTTCAGAAACAAGAGCTCAAGTCTATATTTAACCTTATAGTTAGCCTTACGGTTGAGATGCTAACGGACTTTTTCCGAAGACACTAAACCATTTCTATAAAGTAAATATTCAACGGAAGCGTGTCATTTACATGAAAGAAAGTGTCAGGAACGCTTGTATGTAGTATTTGTGTAATTTTAGAGACTAAACTTACCTGAAATTAGTGAAAACAACAGTGAGAGACGGGAGTTGCTGCTGCTGCCGCCCCTGCCGCCCCGTTTCCATGGTTACTTCCTCTGCTCCAGTTCAGCGCGAGCGCCCATTAAAAGTCACGCAGTAGAAATGGTAAACGTGTTGTAGAAATAACATTGATTTTTTTTAAATGCATGAATATTCGTACACATTACACATGTATCATGAGGAACAATTTTTTATATTTATGTTTTATGTATTTTTAAAATATATTTCAATATATTCAGCAGTGCTTCAGATATGTCAAATGTCTAATCTATTTCTTCACTTGCTACATTTATGCTCATGGCTATATTAGGGCTATGTGGTCCGAAATAAACGTGCTACTGCTAAATTTGGACTAAATTAGACGGACCAAACAAAGCTCAGTTTTCAACGTCTATTGTGGACTAAATTTGGACCAAATCAGATGGACCAAAAAAAAAACAATTTTCAACGTCGCTTTTTGGGCTAAATTTGGACCAAATCCGACGGACCAAACGAAGACCAATTTTCAACGTCGCTTTTTGGGCTAAAAGAAGTCCATGACGGGCCGACTTGATTTAGCCCAAAAAACGACGTCCAAATGACGTCTGGTGCTGGGTGGGCTATTACTCACCCTCAAGTTGTTCCAAACCTGTATGAGTTTCTTACAGCTGTTGAACACAAACAAAGATATTCTGAAGAATGTTGGTAACCGAACATTTGACGGTAGCCATTGACTTCCACAGTATGGAAAAAATGGCTATAATACTATGGAAGTCAATGGCTACCGTCAACTGTTTGGTTACCCACATTCTTCAAAATATCTTCTTTTTCAGAATTTTCTTTTTTGGGTGGACTATGCCTTTAAGAAGGAAATCTTTTGTAACTTTATACATGTATTTACTATCACTTCTGATCAATTTAATGCTTCCTTGCTGAATAAAAGTATGAATTTCTTTCAAAAAATTTCTTACCCAAAAACTTTTCAACAGTAGTGTATGTATTTAAGAAAATCCCACCTTGCTGTTGAAACATCTGTAAAATCACAGCCATCTGTCAGTATCTCCCAATATCTTATTTTTTTCTTCTTTAACTGTAGGATGGTGAAACCCTTGTGGAATATAAACCACTGGAGGATGCAGATCCCTCAAACATGCTGTGTGCCTGCAAGGTTTGTTAGATCATTCATAAATTATGCATATCCTGTTTCATCTGTGGGATTTTGCATATTTATGTTGACTGAGAGTTCAAAACACTCCTGCAGTTCTTCTGTGCTCTGTACTGGTATTTTATAATTCTGAATAGTTCTGGATTAGGATTTCCTGATTTTGGTTTGTTTGATTGTGTGAAGGACTCCAGCTCAGTGGTGGAATGGACTCAGAGTTTAGAAGGCAACCCTCACCGTCCAATTGACCATCAGCTGAGCTATGAAACAGAGTGGGACATGATCAATGCTGTCTCATTCCGGAGAAAAGTCCACACACATGGAGATGGTAAACAATTGCTCTTCTATGAGTCAAATGTGGTTGAAATCATTTAAAAATCAAAATTATTGTCACCATGCACTTTACTCGGTACCTAACAGAAAATGCCAGCATGTTATCTCATGCATCAGTCAGTGAATTATGTGTCTGGTCCTGTTTTTCCAAAACCAGAAGATGGAAATCTGTAACAGTAACCTAGCTTATTATTTATTGTCATATTGTCACAGGTGGATCAAACCACGCAAATGACCGGAACAAGTGGGCCTTCTCTTTTAATGTGTGTGACCTCAGGTCTATCACAGTCAAATGTGAGGGCTGGTCATACATCACTTTCCGCTTGAAGGATGGCACAGCACTGCCAGCTATTCATTTCCACCAGGGAGGGAACACAGCATTCCTGGATAGCCTAAGGAAATCAGTTCAGATCAACGAGTAAGTGAAGTGTCAGGGGTTGTTTTAGTGTAAATAGGTCAGGCTTAATCTGTGGCTCAGCTGTAGACAAATATTGTGCAATATCTATTTCAATATCATTCTATTGATGAGGAATGTGAACGGTTTGCCAATGCTGTTTTTTATTGCAGCATTAGCCCAGTAGAGTGTAGTCATGAGTTACAGACATTTTATAAATGATTTTGAATACATTATAAGCAGTGCTGCACAGAGCCTGCACTCTTATTTAATGTTTTCTGGGCATGTTGTGGGGTAAGATCCACAAAATCATTTTAAATTTGGGTTAAATTATTAAAAAAAAAAACAATACCCAGATTTGGGGCCAGATTTGCTAACCGCTTACACCAACTTATACCCTTTTTATTTATGGGAGGAGAGTAGGGATGTAACGATTAACTGCGAGCCGGTCGAAAATCGATTCAAATATGTGACGATTCAAATCGGTTGAGATGCCAAACAAATCGCGATTCAAGTGGAGTAGGAGTTTATATGAATGTATCTCTGAGGGGAACTGACTATCTTTAGAACAATGAACAATGTTTAGAACAACCTCTGAACAATGCATATTAAAGTAGCATTCATAAGCACAGCTCTGCTTTGTTTACAGCAGTAACCCAGGAATCGTTGTATCGTTGCTGTTCATAAGCGCCTCCTGCTGTCAGAGAGTGAATCTGCGTCTCATTCAGCTCATCTGCTGTTTCGTTCACATATGTTTTATGTAGTATAGTTTCACAAAACTAAAGTCAAGCCATTCTGTTTTTGCTTCAAATTTCGATTAAAAACTACTCATGCTGCATGTATGCTGCATCTTTGTTTGGATCATGATTAAAATCCAGTGGTTGCCTCTAATTTTAAATGGAAAGAGCACAGACAAAGCCTTAGTTTGTTCATATTAAGAGATTTCTTTTATTTGTGTAACTTGTTTGATTTGGGGTTTGTTTTAAAATTAAAATGTAGTCAATTTCACAGAGAAATGTGCAGCAATAGCCTAATAAAACGACACCTTTTCATTTACTTTGTCTTCAATCTCATTTTGTAAAAAAAATGTGAGAAAATCAAATTGTGAAATCAAAATCGTGAATCGAATCGTGAGTTGAGTGAATCGTTACATCCCTAGAGGAGAGTATTTAAATTAGTCATTCAAGGGGATTTACTAAGGTTTGCGGTAGTCGGTTTACTACCATTTATTTAAACACCAAAAAATGTCATGTATTAATATGTTAATCCATCAATCCAGTGTTGTTAGTAGATTATACGCTTCTCTCCCCTTCCACTACGTAAGGAAAGCTACAACAGTTGAGTGCATGAAGTGGCCAACATTCAACACTTCTGGGTTCATCTGAGTATTTTTGCACTTTTTCTTTTTTGGAATTTTCAGTGTGAATGTATTATTCACACTATGAATACAAAAAAAAAAAAGGCATGGAAAAGTGTGCATTTTTGTTTCTGGAAGAATTAATAAGTATATTAGCTTTTACAAATTCATGTGTACTGTCAGACGTCTTCCTCAGAATGAATATGGCTTAATTATTTAATTCGTCCTGTTTTTATCTTAAAAGTGACCCCTGACCTTTTAATTCACTAAATACCACAGGCACTAAGATTACTCTCTCTGACTCACGTAATTCTTCACCCAAATACTTTATCCTTTAAAACAGAACACATCAAACTGTAACCCAATCTGCATGCATACCTTTGAGGAAGTCTAGCATGTGTTCTGAGGCGAGAGGCCATGAGCGTGATTCATGTAAGGTCGAACAGCAGCTGTTCGTTTAGAGTTAAGGCTTTATGAAAGGGACAGGAAGACACTCCTCTCCCCTGCGTTAAATATCATACCAGATTAAATCCGCCAGTAAGCATGCTGAATTCAGCACTGCCGAGGAAAAGATAACTGTTATTGAAGTTCTTATCTGAGTCTACATAATGAAACATAGACTTGGCTTTGTGTGCTCGGCTTCTCCCGTCATTCAAACCACAGAGTGATATGGCTAGTGATGTCATATGTTTACAATTCGACTACTTGTTGTTATGTGTACTCTTAAAATTATTGATGGTATTACTTTATTAAGACTATAGAGTGAATCTTACTATCGTTGTTTCTGTCTTTCAAAGGAGTCCCGATGATGAAAGTGTCTTGATTGTCAGCACCTACAGCAAAGCCTTCTCACAGTCCTTTGAGAATCTTCTGGATGATACAAACTATGGCTTGGTACAGGTTTGTGATTTACAAGGGGAATCATACTAGTAACCTTCCACGAATTGAGCTTTGATGTAAAAATATTCATTTATGTGATTGAAAGTATTCTTCACAGTATTATCTCACTCTCCAACCAGAAATTCAAGAAAGATCCTTATACAACAACGCTGGGTGGCTTCTCCAAAGTCACAAATTACCTCTTTGACGCATTTCGGGTGCCTGAATTAGAATGTCAACAGCGGCCTGCCGAGGAGGTGGCAGATTTGTTGGGAGAACTCATTCCTGGACTAGAGATTAACCAGCAGGAAGAGCCTGGATTTGAAGTCATCACCAGAGTGAGTGCAGATCTAATGCCAACCCAAACTCTGACTCTGGGTCTAGACACAGACAGTCGACATGAGGAATCCTGTACAAAACATACTGTTATGGTAAATTGATTTGAGGTGTTTGTGTTCCAGCTTGATCTGGGACCGAGGCCAGAGGTGCAAAGAAGGGGGCCAGCAACAATGGAAGAATGGGCAAAGTACCAGGACTCAGAGGGAAGAATAACCAACGTACCTCACTTAAAGGATGTTATATTTAAAGGGGTAAGAAGTTACTTTGAATATCTTACTGTAGTGTCTTCCATTAATGTACCTAATTTCTGATGCACAGGATATCCTTTTTTTGTTGCCTATGCTGTTTTGGTTTTCTCACACTCTTCCCCTTTTTCACTGTAGTCTGCAGCTGTCTTCTCTTTGCTTGTGGTTTTATCACCTCCTCTTCTTTCTCCTCTTGTTAACCTTTGTGGTAGATAGCAAATGTTTAAAGGGGTCATATGATGCTGCTAAAAAACATCTGAACTTTTATAAAGAATATCTCTTTGGATTTGAGACTTTAGTCTTTGCAACTTTACAGATCTTTTTTATGCACCAAGAGCTTGTAACACTCCAAAGAGAAAGGAAAAATTGAAATTGCATCGTATGACCCCTTTAAGTCATGAGTTCATCTTTTTTTCATATTTTATCCATCTGTCGTTGTTCTACATCATAAAGGAAATCACATACCCTGCCTACCATTTATTTGATTAGTAAAAGTGTTTTAATTTTGTAACATGTTATTTGTAATTTATTATTGTGATGACAGCTGAATTTCCAGCAGCCATTACTCCAGTCCTCAGTGATGCATGATCCTTAAGAAATCATTCTAATATACTGATTTGGTGCTCAGGAAACATTTCTTTCTCTCTTTACTCTTTCTACATCCAAAACAAAGCATTAAATATACATTAAAGGTACAGTATTTCATCATCCCAGTCTGATACATTTGAGTGGATTTCCTTTTGGCATACCTTCCAAAAAGCTAGATGCAGTGTAAAACACTACATTTTACATGTTCAAACTCAACTTGATTTGGAAATGAGACAAATCTGAATCTGACACAAGCTGTTTTAGTGTCCCATTTTTCCTGTGACTTCTTGTCCACCTGCTTTCAGTTAGACCAGAACTGTTTATACATGTATAGTAGACCTGATTTTAAATATTTCATAAAATGTAGCTTATCAAGGCTGCTGATTTAATCGCAACAGGGTCTTTGCCATGCGGTGAGGAGGGAGGCTTGGAAGTTTTTGCTCGGCTATTTTCCATGGAACAGCACTCATGAAGAAAGGAAACTCCTGCAAAAGAGAAAAACGTATGCATGTTTCCCTCAGAGAAATGATATAAAGCTCTCTTCTTATCAGATTAAGCATACATAAGATCATGTGTTTTCCCCTCAACAGTGATGAATACTTCAGAATGAAGCTTCAGTGGAAGTCAGTAAGCGAGGAGCAAGAAAGAAGAAACTCAAGGTTACGAGATTATAGGAGCCTTATTGGTGTGTATAGAATTACATTGCAAGTTTTATTCTTTAGCTGTTTTAAAAATGTTTTCAAAATATCCACCTTTTCATTACCTGAATGAAGCTCAGTTTGTGGTTGTTGAATCTTTTTAGAAAAAGATGTGAACCGAACTGACCGAAATAACAAATTTTACGAAGGCCTGGACAACCCTGGCTTGATATTACTACATGACATCCTGATGACGTACTGCATGTTTGACTTTGATTTAGGCAAGTGACTACATTTGTTTGAATCATCATTTAGTAATTCTCTTCATAAGAACTACTGTATACCACTGTAAAAAAAAAAATTAATGTAATCTACTGTTATGTATACTCCCATGCTGGTATCTTGTAAAATTCTTTAGTTAATGTCAATGTGATTTTAATTGCACATTCAGTTATTTATATTATGGATAATCTTAAGTGCTTTTCAGTGTAGCGTTGCTTGTATTTACCTAGTTTCCTGTTCCTGTGCAGGGTATGTGCAGGGCATGAGTGATCTGCTCTCTCCCATCCTCTTTGTGATGGAGAATGAAGTGGATGCCTTCTGGTGCTTTGTTTCCTTCATGGATGAACTGGTAATGCAGTGTGTTCATTACAGAACGTCTCTCTTTAGCACTCTTGGGTTTGCTGTGCATGAGAAGCTGTAACACTCGTGTTTGTTACAGCATGAAAACTTTGAAGAGCAGATGCAGGGGATGAAGACCCAACTAATCCAACTCAGCACTTTGCTTCGGCTGCTAGACCTGGCCTTCTGGAGCTACCTAGGTAAGATACCCCAAGGAAGACTTATTGGAAATAGTCTTTTTTCTTAATGTTGATTTCACAGGATTCTGTGACCATAAGTAGCCATTGTGTACATTTCTGTGTTTATGTGGTTTTACAGAGGCGCAGGATTCTGGGTACTTATATTTCTGTTTTCGCTGGTTATTGATCCGATTCAAGAGAGAGCTGCATTTTCAGGACGTCCTGCGCCTTTGGGAGGTGTGTAATAAATAATTTAATATTAATTAAATTAGTTATTAATAATCTTTAAATAATCTTTAAATTTAATAATATTAAAAAGATGAATAATCTATTTATTTTAATTATTTTTTTATATTGGCCATCTGTACCATTTCTCAGTACACTGTAGCCATTGTCTGTGATGATTTTTATTATACTTGATTAAGTGTTATATTGGCATTTTATTTCATATTTTATTTTATGCAACTATTTTCTCCTTCAGATCATGTGGACCAGACTACCTTGCCAAAACTTTCACCTTCTGGTGTGCTGTGCCATTTTAGACTCAGAGAAACAAAAAATTATGGACAGAAAATATGGATTCAATGAAATCCTAAAGGTTAGCATTAACTGTATATCATACAATACCATTCAAAGTTTTTTTCTTTTTTGATTAAAAGTTTTACATTTTGAATGAATACTTTTATTTAGCAAGGATGCGTTAACAGTAAAGAACTTTTATAATGTTATAAAAAAAATCTATTTCAAATAAATGCTGTTCTTTTAAACTTTCTATTCATCAAAAAATCCTGAAAAGAAAATTATTACGGTTTCCAACAAATACTACTACATAGCACAACATACATAAATGTTTCTTAATCACCAAATCAGCTTATTAGAATGATAAAGGATCATGTGACACCGAAGACTGGAGTAATGACTGCTGAAAATGAAGCTTTGCCATCAACTACTAATAAACTACATTTTAAAATATATTCAAATAGAAAACAGTTATTTCATAATGTAATAATATTTCATACTACTACAGTTTTTACTGTATTTTTGATCAAATAAATGCATCCTTGATGAGCAATAGAGACTTCTATGAAAACATCAACAAAACCATACAGACCCCAAATGTTTGAACGGTAATGTGTGTATCTACATTTTATAACATACATAAATCAGCTTGTGTTCACCTATTATGTTTTCTTCACAGCATATAAATGAACTCTCCATGAAACTGGACATCGAAGAAATCCTTAGCAAATCTGAAGCTATCTGCATGCAGATAAAGAATTGTAAGGTATGTCCTAAGCATGATTGCATATATTGGGGTATGTGATCTCTATAATACATTTTTCTCAGTAATATGTGATTATTTCATCCCATTAATACAAGTTTTGAATCTCTTCCGATATCCTCTAAGGACTTGCCCCATTCAGTGAGTGAGATTCTGGGTCTCAACACAGTCACTGAACCCTCTGCAGCATTAGAAACCAGTGAATATGGAATACTTGAGTCACCTCAGACCTCACCAAGAGCCACACACAGACAAGATCACATCATCTCCAACGGCCACAGCCACTTAAAAGAATCAACACACAATGGCTGCAAAGTAGCTATCATTTCCTAGTGTATAGCACTACAAGATGTATAGTACAGATTTTATAGCCCCTGTATTCCAGCAAGATGAACAGTATTGGGTGTTATGTAGATATTTGCTACCAAATGCCACATTGTAAAATATCCCAGAGAAAATATATGAATGTAAAACAAGGATTCAAAGGGATCCCTAAAGCATTATTTTTGTAAATCTTGTACCAAATTGTCTTTCATTGAAATAATCATTCCTTCTCACTGTATTGAGAGTTTTCATAATGTTTCAGAGGTGGGGTATTCATTGTTGAATATTATATATATTTTTTGTTCTTATCAGTTTGCTCTTTTCCTAAATAATTCAGATTCAAATTAAAATCTGTCTTCCTTCCATTAGTTCATGAGTTATATTTCAGAACACCATTTAAGACTGGTAAATTGCTTTTATTTATTTATTTTTTTTTTCTCTTTTTAAGAGAACCCTAAATGTATCTTACGTTCATTACACTTTCTGTCTTTGTCCAGTGAAATGAGCCATTTTGTATCCCATATTATTACATTAATTAGGTAAGTGTACTTTGTAATTAGTTGGTCACCTTAGATAAAAAAAAAACACCCACAAAATCAAAACAATGTAACTGTCTTGAGAGTGAAGGAGAACATTTGCTTGGCCATATAAACTAAAGTCACCAGTTCCAACTGGCATGTAAATGTGGTTTGAGTCTGCAGTCTTCATTCAGTTGGCTCGCTGTGACATTTGCAGATGAGATGGAGAGACGGTGAAAATACTGATTGAGGATGAAGTGTCTTTTATCCACTCGTAACCACAGGTCACAACAAAGACACTGCGAATCAAGTTCAATCTCTTTCATTTCCTGTTCCACAGGAAATTGCCTCAGAGGAAGCTGATAGCTCACTGCTCACCTCAGTAATGTTATCTCTCTTCTAGCTCCCTTTCATTAAAGAAACGGCAGCATTTTGTGCACTGACAAGCATGCGCTCATTCACCAAAACCCAAAAACAATATGCATCTGTCCTCAAAGGTGGTCAAAAGGCAGTTTCCATAACTGCGCTCAATGCATTTTACATACAATGATGTTTAAATAAATAAAGGTGACATTTAGGTTCATATTTTATGAAAATTATTGCTCTAATCTCACTACCTTTCTCTTGCTTTCAATATTGAACATGTTTCTAAATGCAAAGGCCTTTATATCTTACAAAAAATGATGGGTGCTGTTTGCAGTTATCAACCCCCCCTTCACCATCCAGCTGGAAAATGAAGCACCATTTACGGAAATCCTGAAATCTGGATTATTTTGCTCCAGATTCATTTCTCCTAGAAGGTGAGATGAGCTTATCAACTTCGGTCATGGCTTGGACGTGTCGACATTCCCTAATGGAACAGCCATCCCCTCAAAAGCTAATATGAGTGATTGCCTACCCCGTGAGACAGTGGCCCTTAAAATGTCATTCGTCACAGTATATAATCCCAGCTCTGATACTGCCGGGGGAGGAGTGTCGTACTGTGGCATATGCAAAGGGGAGCTTTGGGGATATCTTCTGAGACAATAGTACCTTTGCCATATGAAATGCAGGGAAAGAAGACATCTCAAGAGACGGCAACTATGTCCTCTTTACTACAAACTAACCCGAAGGGGCCACAGACAGCCCCTAAATCACCAGTTGGGCTTCTTGGGAAAAGGGGTCAAGAAGCAATTCCTAAAATGCAACCCGCTATGATGATGTTCTCCAGCAAATACTGGGCTCGACGAGGTCTATCGTTGGATTCAGCAATGTATGATCAACAACACCTTGCAGCCTCCATGGTGAGTACTGAACCGTTTTGATGGCCCCCCTTTTGGGCGCCACATTCCATATAGTCAAATTGCCATAATATTTGTTCAAATTTTTGGAATATATTAAATTATTGTAGTTTTTTGTGCTTTTTTTAAAGCCAGTTACTTGCATAAGCCATTGGTTTACATTGGAAAAACTTAATTAATGGCCATAGGTGATTCTGGATGCAGATGCAAATCTAATGAAATGTTTTATTACACAATTCACTAGTTTACTGACTGAAAGCCAGGCCAGCTGGAACTGGGCACAGTGATGTAATAAAAAAACAGAAGTCAGTCAAAGGCAGTTAAGGTCAAAGTGTAAATTCTCCTTTTTGAGGTTATAAATGACCACCCTTGTGTGCTTAACGTTTGAAATTACTTTTTTAAAAGAAATAAGCTTTTATCTTAACCAATTTCTGCATCCAAAGAGTTTTACATTCACTAAGTAACACCTCCGCACAGCTCCGCAGGACATCCTTTAATCGGATAGATGAAAGACCTGATAAAGAAGAACCAAAATCCACTCATGACCTTGGGAAATTAGCAGTGATTTTCTCTCTGAAGAATGAAGTGGGCTGTCTGGTGAAAGCGCTGAGACTCTTTCAGGTTAGTGAAAACGTCATCTTTTGGTGGGGTAGATTAATAGCACATTTTAATAAGTATATCTAATGCATAATAATTTTAATAGACTTTTGATTTAAACCAAAGTGACATCCTGCCGTTGTTTTTTAAAAGGAGAAGCATGTGAATTTGTCCCACATTGAGTCTCGGAGATCCAAGAGAGTCACCAATGAGGTGGAGATTTATGCAGAGTGCAACTGCACAAAGAAAGAGTTCAGTGAGTTGGTGCAGCACCTGAAAGACCACGTCAACATTGTCTCATATAACACACCTCAACAAGTGTGGTCTGCAGAGACCGGTAAACCTGAACTCAGTGAGCAGAAGAATAGTCACTGTAATTATGTTCCAGCTTTGTGACAATGTTACTGATTCACCTGACTATTTATTCCAGACTGTTTGGACTGTGTGTGTGTTTTGGGTGGGTTGCCAGATGGGGAAGGAATACCATGGTTTCCCCAAAAGATCTCAGAGCTGGACCAATGCTCTCATAGAGTGCTAATGTATGGCTCAGAACTGGATGCTGACCATCCAGTACGTAAATCTGTTTAGTAACCAGTTACCAGTGAATAATAGTATATTTATAAACTTACTTTAATCTAGCTTAATGGATTCTGTAAAAATTGTTCATGATACCCAGTGCATTATCTAAGGTTAAAAATTAAACCTTATTGTAAAGTGATTCTTTGTTCTTTGTTGCAGGGCTTTAAAGACAAAGTGTATCGGGAGAGAAGGAAGTACTTTGTGGAAGTTGCAATGAACTACAAATTGTTAGTATGGAGTATAATATAGTTTATATTCTTGTGTAATTGATTTTGGGTTCTTGTAGCTCAATTGTTAACTAGTTAAAAATGCTACAATAGTTAAAAGCTGAAGCATAATACAGTTCCATAAATGGAAATTATATGAAATTTAAGTTAGAGTCTTACAAACTAACTGAAATGACAGAAATTGCTGAGTTTTCTTCCATTTCTTACATAATATGAATCAGAAAATCTTTTTTTTTTTTTTTTAATCTTCAGTGGGCAGCCCATCCCACGGATCGAGTACACAGCAGAAGAAGTGAAGACATGGGGAGTAATTTTCAGAGAACTTACAAAACTCTATCCAACTCACGCCTGCCGCGAGTACTTAAAAAACCTCCCTCTTCTCACAAAGCATTGTGGATACAGGGAGGACAACATCCCACAGCTGGAAGATGTGTCTCGATTCTTACGTGGTAAAAAATGTGTCACGTCAAGTCACAGCCATGCAACTACTTTCTACTTGCATTATTAATTGCATTCATTCAGTTAAAAAGTCTACACTATTTAATCTGGAGGTTTTGATTGTGAACCTTGCAGAGAGGTCAGGTTTTACCGTACGACCTGTGGCTGGATATCTGTCACCACGAGACTTCCTGGCCGGTCTGGCTTATCGAGTGTTTAATTGCACTCAGTATATACGTCACAGCACTGATCCACTCTACACACCAGAACCGTGAGTATAAACCCCCACCAATAAATCTTTGGTAGAAAATGTCATTTTTCTTCTTCACCTCCAACCTGTAAACTGTTTTCATGTCCTCAGGGACACCTGCCATGAACTGCTGGGTCACATGGCGCTCCTGGCCGATCCCAAGTTTGCTCAGTTTTCTCAAGAGATTGGCCTTGCATCTCTAGGCGCTTCAGACAAGGATGTGCAGAAGCTGGCAACAGTAAGTGTGACAGCAGCTTATTGAATTCTTAAATGTCATCTCGAACTGGCAGGTTCATAACATGACACCGAAATAAAAAGGTCACTGAAGTTTTTCATGGCATGAAGTTTGATCTATGGTGTTGAGTTACATGCGTTTGCATTGAAATCAGATCACCGGCTCTGTATCTCGGACTTTAGTGAGACAATCAGATCTGGGTATAAGGTTTTTGGTGGTTTCAGTATGAGTGGGTATATCTCATAAAGGCCTGAAGGAACGTGTTGTAGATAATATTGCTTCTAAACCTTTGCAATATATGCAACATGTTTATTATGCAATGAACTGCTGTGCTTTTTTTTTCTAGTGCTATTTCTTCACAATTGAATTTGGACTGTGCAAACAAGACGGTCAGTTGAGAGCCTATGGAGCAGGTCTACTGTCTTCTATTGGAGAGTTGAGAGTATGAAGCCCTTTGTTAACTATATTTAAGCACCTCAAGCATTAAGATTTTATAATTTATAAGTGAATGAATAATCTTTTATGATGCAGCATGCGTTATCTGACAAGGCAACAGTGAATATGTTTGATCCCAAAACCACATGCTACCAGGAGTGCCTCATTACAACATTTCAAGATGTTTATTTTGTCTCAGAGAGTTTTGAAGAGGCAAAACAGAAAATGAGGTAAATATATCCAGTCAAATGTGAAAATGGACAATAATCCACAACTGTGTAAAAGAGACACATTTGGACTTAATAATGTCAATTAATGTTGTTCCTTCTAAACAGGGAATTTGCTAAAACAATAAAGAGGCCTTTTTCTGTCTACTACAACCCGTACACCCAGAGCATTGATTTATTGAAGGACACCAGGAGCATTGAGAACGTGGTTCAAGATCTACGCAGCGACCTAACCACTGTCTGCGATGCCCTGGGAAAAATGAACACGTACCTCGGTATCTAGCTAATCAGAGTCATCAGTGCTTTATTGTAGAATAAATCTGCAACTGTTTTACATTATTAAATTCCAATTCCATTAATACTTTAACATCTGTAGTGATGTTGATTATCTGGGCTAAACATTTATTAGTCTTGCCTTGTTATGAGGATGTATGCCACATAAATTAAGGTGTGAAATATTGCAACCGTAGTCATACGGCATTCAAACCCAGTCAACATGTCAATGTATTAAGACACTAAATGAAAAGAAAGGATTTAATATTTATCTAGTCTTTGCCTCTTTGTGCCGAATGTTCTGCTTAAAACAGAGTTACAAAATGTATGTGTTTTATTTCAACCTCATAGCAAGTGAAGGCAGTTGGTACATTAATAATGATAAAAAAAATGAATTAAAAAAACCTATTAAGCACTATCCTGATTCCAGTGGCATTCTAAACGCATGTATGTGGTGCTTGCTTTATTTGTTGTTGAAAAGCCAACATCTCAGTCAATAAAGCATTATATTTTAGCATTATATTTTGATCTGCTTTTTAAAAGTGCGCAGCAATGAGTTAAGGGCACATTTCATTCATAACACTACATTTTATTTTATTTTACATTAAATGTATATATAAACAAGTACATATTTAATACTGTGAATATATACACTTAAATATAACCAGCATAATAAAAGTAAAAAAGGTATCTATAGATTTATAAAATATAGATTTTATAGATTTTTAGAAATCTATTATAATAGCTAATATCAATATATTCCTCAATATACTGTATATCACATTGACTACTAATAACCATCCATTTCACAGTGTATCTTGTCAGTGGACTTCTTCATCATCGTCCTCGTCAAAGGCTTTCTCCTATAGTGAGTCAGAGATGACATATAAGTTGTGTATTAAGCATTATTGTAATTATTGTATTGAGTAAACTTCATTCATTTCTAGTAAAATGATTTATTTGAAACTTTTTTTTTAACTAAAAACTGGTGCGTAAACTCTCACCCAACCACCGTGCTGTTTAACCCAGGGAGCGAAATACTCCTGCAGGTACTGAGCTCCGTATCCCATGGCCCTGTTCATGGGGTGTAGGTCCAGGGCTTTGAGTCTGCTGGTGACCTCAAAGGCCAGGGCGATCTGCTCACGTTTCCTTCTGCTCTGCAGATATTCTGGCACCACACTCGTGATGAAGGCTTCGGTCACTTTTTTAAACAAGTCGTAAGAGAACGTACGCTGCAGGTATCCTAAAAGCTCATGGTTGCTCTGAATCTGAGAAGGCAGAGGGGACATTTAAGAGCAAGAAAAGGTTTTAGGACAGCACACTGAACAGTTATTTAACAGCTTTGATCGTGTCTCTTTAATGAGAATTCTAATATTTTATAATCGATTTTCGTAATATTTGTTTTAGAGTTTTTAACTGAAGTCTTACATTTGGTTTGTATCCATCAAGTTCCAATTTCCAAATATCAAAATATATCAATTTAATCCAGTGGATTATCTAAAACTATTCACTAAACCAAAACTAACCAGTTAGTCAGACTACAGACTGTAAAGAGATCATGATGTTTACCCTTTCATTTAAGTTGTCCCCTGATTTCTTCAGTAAGTCAACAAGCTTGTCTATAACATCTTGGTCAACATCTTTAACACCTATAAAAAGGACAGAGCACAATTAAAATCTGGATAATCAATAGTGTTATACAAGATGATATTTCGATGACTGATTGTGTATAACAGTACCACCAGCTGACTCTAGCCCTTCGTCAACAATAAGTCTTTTGTCTACAGTCTGGAGTAGTTCTTCATCAAGGAGTCCATTGTCTACAATCTGGGTGAGTTTTTCAGCCACATCACCAAATTGCTCATCACCTGTTTTCAACAGACATGACATTAAAATGAGAATAAATGTTATAATCATCTCAGAAAGAGTCACAGATCTCAAATACAGTATCTCTCTGACCTGATCGTGCCTCCAGTCTGTACATACAGGCACTTTGGACCGATCTGGCGCGGGGCTTCCTCCTCTTCTGGCAGTATGTTTCAAGAAGTCGATATTCATCACTACAAGTTATTAAAGGTGAATCGTCTTCCATCATGTGAAACACCCACTGATTTCTGCTGACTAGATAAAGAAACAGGACATTTTACTTGTTATGCTACATGTTATATCCGTAAAAAATGTAATCAAATCAAAACGATAAATGTGAACTTATTAACATTTCATATCTAAAAAGACTTTAACTGCGCTGTTTCAGTTTGTAAACTGAGGTATGGAGCTACAGTTGAAACTTTACACAACGCCACTGATCATATCTAGTTCCACTGACCGCAAATTTCAGTGCAAAACGCACATTTCATTGTTGTAATTCTTTAACCGGACCACATTAAAATAGCCATTAAAATAGCCAAATAGCCATCCAAGATGGCGCCGCGGATGGCAGCGATGGTTTGTCGCTACTTGGTTGGTACTTGTACTTTTTTTGTTTGTTTGTCCTGTCTTAAATGTACCAGGAGCACCTTAAAAAACCAAAACAAATTCCTCGTGTGTTTGCACACCTGGCGAATAAAGCTAATTCTGATTCTGATTCTGATTCTGACATAAAATCTACTGAATAAATGTAAAAGCAATGCGGTCTCCTATTTTCTAAACAGAAAATATACAACAAAACTTACCGGGAAACCGGGTAAAGTTTTCCTGAGAGTTGGAGACGTACTGTACGTCAGTACTTGCGACGTATTACGTGCACGGACGTTTTGCACGTACAGCTGTGACTTGCTTTCGTTTTCTTTTCGAGTCATCATTCCCATGCACAACCGGAGGCTGTAGTTTCAGGACCACCAGGGTCCCAGAAATGCGGTCCTGAAACTGCAGCCTCCGCTATATTATCCAATTCGGTAGGTGGCGCTGTTACAAAAGAATAGGGTCCTAGAACTGCGGTCCTGAAACTGCAGCCTCCAGTTGTGCAGGAACACCCTTCTCGTATCATTCACATTGTTTTGGTTTCTGTCACTGATCTATATAATGTTCTCTATAGATCAGTGGTTTCTGTTCATTTATCAGCGATCACATGATGCACAGCTTTCAATTGTGTTTTAGAAATATTTTATTCGTTTTTTCACCTTTGAGATGTCTTATAACCTATTATTTAATTAATCTGCTACATCTATTAAAAGCTGTAGAATTTGTTAATATTTGTAAACATTTTCATCTTTTTATTTAACCTTTTATTTAGCCTTTTTATGTTTTTACCAATTTACAACCATTAAAAAAAAAAAAAAAAAGTAGGCTATAGGCTAATAACATATAAAATAATAAAATAATTTTAGAGCATTTTAAAGAATTATTATTACAGACAGTATTGGATGATTTTGCAGAATTTCTGAAGAAAATTCTAATTTCTCTTGCTTCTGTTGTTTATGTTAATATGCATGTTCATAATAGCTAGATGATTATGACGTCTCTAGCCAAAGTTTATCAGTTTAAATATGATATAGGCCTACAGTATTAATTTAGTTCAGGGTGATGTGTGTGTGCACGTGTAATGTATAATAAACAACAACAAAAACATTACAAGGGATTTTCTATTGCTAAATATACAAAAATTGTTTTAATTTTTTATAAATGTACATTTTTGTAGGCCTATTATTATAAAGGGTAGCATCTACTAACAAACTACTAACTCAAATGATAAACTATGATTACAAATATTTCTTTGAGATTTTGTCTGCAAATCCAAAAGTACAGTAAGAACCAGGTAATAATAATCTGCATTTTAGTTACTAAATTAATTTTACAGTGTTTATATAGGTACAAATTTAAATCCACAGGCAACAGACAGTATTTAAAATTTAATTTAAAGAATGTACACTCTTAAAAATAAAGGTGCTTCTAAAGGTTCTTCAAGTGATGCTATAGAAGAACCATTTTTGGTTCCACAAAGAACCATTCTGTCAAAGGTTCTTTAAAGAACCATCTCTTTCTTACCTTTTTATAATCTGAAGAACCTTCTTTCACCACAAAGAACCCTTTGTGAAACAGAAAGGTTCTTCAGATGTTAAAGGTTCTTTATGGAACCATTTGGGCAAAAAGGTTCTTCTATGGCATCGTGAAGCACCTTTATTTTTAAGAGTGTAGTTATTAATATTGTTGTCTTGGTGTGTCTTTTTATCTTACACCTTTAACCCGATGATTATAAAGGAAGGGTAAGGATAGTACAATCTAGTCTAAACCATAAAGTACTCACCCGCCCGCAGGTTGAAGCTCTTTAGGAATGACATTTGTGCTTATTTTTTGAGACTCGTAGTTATAAGTAGTCTCACAGAAGGCAATCGTATAAAACACTTATTTTATTGGTTACAATATAAAGCAGTTAATGAAAAAAAAAACTTCAGTTAAACTAAGAGCTCTATAATCAAACTCTAAACAGCTATTCTGGTGATGCTGTTAAGTTCCTCGAGTTCCTCAACAGGGTTTCTGGTGTCCTTCACACTTAATGCAAGGAGCATCTAAACCAGGGGTGTCAAACTCAATTCCTGGAGGGCCGGAGCCCTGCAGAGTTTTGTTCCAACCCTGCTCCAACACACATACCATGTAGTTTTCAAATAAGTCTAAAGGACTTGATTAGTTGGATCAGGTGTGTTTAATTAGGGTTGAACCTAAACTCTGCAGGGCTCTGGCCCTCCAGGAACGGAGTTTGACACCCCTGATCTAAACAGTGCTTTACTCCTCAGTCTTATTATACTTCTTTTTGGGGAATTCCACTTCTATCTCATTCATCAACTCCTCTATGTCCTGTATGAACCAGTCTTCCGTCTTCCTGTTGTAAAAGTATCTGTCTCTGTAAATCATGTCTAATTCCTTCCGCCATCGCCTACGCTGTTGTCTTCTTCTCACACTTTTCCACTTCTTCATTATAGTCTTAATCAGTCTTACCTCCGCTTGTGGTTTTAACACCTTCTCTTCACCCCGTGAAGTAATTCATAAAATTACTTTTCAGATCTTTGGCTCATTTCATCCTGTTCTACATTATAAACGAAAGGAAGTCAAGTACATTTGTCTACTCTACTCTACGTCAATGTCATTTTAAGTATTTCATTACCTTCCAATCACATACACTCTTAAAAATAAAGGTGCTTCACGATGCCATAGAAGAACCTTTTTTTCTAAATGGTTCCATAAAGAACCTTTAACATCTGAAGAACCTTTCTGTTTCACAAAAGGTTCTTTGTGGCGAAAGAAGGTTCTTCAGATTATAAAAAGGTAAGAAAGAGATGGTTCTTTAAAGAACCTTTGACTGAATGGTTCTTTGTGGAACCAAAAATGGTTCTTCTATGGCATTGCTTGAAGAACCTTTTGAAGCACCTTTATTTTTAAGAGTGTAGCATTCAAACATCTTTATATTCAAGCATATATGCGTTAACTTAAAAGCAAGCAGTGTTGAGGGCAACGCATTACAAGTAACGTGAGTTACTTAATCAGATTACTTTTCTCAAGTAACTTGTAAAGTGACGCATTACTTTGAAATTTACAATGAAATATCTGAGTTATTTTTTCTAGTAAGTAACGCAAGTTACTTTGTTTTCCCATTTATTCACTGACATCTCTCCTGTCCCTATGTTGAGAGAAACTGGGAGTGAGGTGCTCTGGTAAAGGCATTTCCTTCAGCCTGAGGCTTATTCACTTTTCGAGTGAAAGGGCTAAAAATATAACTTTTGGATTTTTATTTGTTATTAAAAAACAAATAAGCAAGTTCAGCCCAGGTGGCAAAAAGTAACACAATGCATTACTTTCAATAAAAAGTAACTAAGTAATGCAATTAGTTACTTATTTATGAAATAATGCAATATTGTAATGCATTACTTTAACTTTCCCTAACACTGAAAGCAAGAAAATAATATTTCTTTAAAACAGGTAAATAGCAATATCAGTCAAAACAATATTATAAATAATTGTCAATGTACTAATCTAACAGAAGTCTTTTTAATGGAAACTTCACTTTATATCCTGTAGTTATTGTTTGTTTTCAGCATTCTTTTTCCAGCAGGCTAGTTGTTTTGTGCGGGACATGTAAAACACAGGCCCGATACAGGTCCCAAGACCGGGAAAGGTGTGCATCAGATTCAGGATTAAACAGCTTGTGTGACTAATTTCTTCATCCCTATTCTTAAGTGTGAAAATGAAAGGAGCGATAGCCAGGGCAGGTCCATAGATTACAGCTGAAGGGATTAGAATCAGCAAGGTGTTCTTTAGTGCTCTGTTTCTTACGGATGACCCACCTCTTCCACCAGTTTGCCCTTCACCCGGACCTTTTTTGCAGAGTACTTGCACAATGCCTGTAAGACATGCCAGCATTATCAGTAAGAAAACATCAGTGGTGATTGACAAGTACATAACTATTTTAGGAAGCCTTTGTTGGTAGGTAATCACCACAATGCCTAAAGTGATGATCCAGATTAGAGCCGAGCAGACAGCACAATACTCCCATTTATTCCCTAGTTTCATGTAGCAGACTGCATGTGCTGCGGCCAGGTAGCGCTCCACACACATACTAGTCAAGAGAAGAGGACAGCCGATCAGGTTGAGGATAGAAATGGCCTCTGAAACTACCAGGAGCTGTCCAGCGCGTTCACTCACAGAAATGTACATATCAAGAGGAAGACTGATGCAGAAGATGACATTCAGCACGGCAAGATTGAGCCCCAAAACTTCAGAGGGTGATAGAGCTTTCTTGCCCCTCACTAGCATCCATAGCAGAGCCACATTAGTTGGGATGCCCACCACAAAAGTTAAAATTTCTAGTGGTAAGCGAACATAGGCATAATGTTTATCATTGCACTTATCCACACTGGTAAGAAACAACTGATGAAAATTGCTTGTATAATTGCTGGTATTACTGTAGATTGTGTGTGTATAGGTTACATTTGATGTCCTGTTTGCCATGTTGACTGAGCACTGTAAACAATAAAGAACATTGCTGGTAGTACAAAAACATGGCAAATATAGCAAAAAGCATTTAAACTCTCAAATGTATTTATGTACACACATACAAATAGGTAGATGCTTATGCATGCATTTAGAAAGTAACAACTTATTTTTTGAAGTATTATTACAATTTAAAATAACTTTTTTCCCCCTATTTTAACATATCTAAAAATACATTTTTATACCTGTGAGAGGAACAGCCATTATTCCAGTCTTACGTGTCACATGATCCTTCAGAAATGATTAATATGCTATTTTGATGCCCAAAAAACATTTATTATAATTACTGATTTGAAAACATTTGCTGTTTAATTATTTTGTAGAATTAATTTCAGGATTATTTGATAAATAGAAAGATCAAAAGAACAGTATTTATTTGAAATAGAAATATTTTGTAACATTATAAATGTATGTACTTTTGATCACTTTTGGTCAATTTAATGCATCCTTGCTGAATAAGTATACAGTATATACTGTGTTTGTGTGTGTGTGGTATACAGTATATACTGTGTTTGTGTGTGTGTGTATATATATATATATATATATATATATATATATTGAAGTATATTTCATCAAAAAATCTACTGACCCTAAATTGTTGAATGTATATAGTGTATACAGACACACACACAAATAATAATTATATTTTTTAAATGTTTAAATAATTTAAAAAATATCTAAAGTATGATGTGAATAAAATAAGTTGTGCAAGTGTTACTGAAAATGTTGAGACATAAAAACTGAGCTTTTCTTGCTATGAGATCAATTGT